ATATATTTAAACAAGAATAAAAAAATAGGCCGTTTTGCATGAAACTAGGAGTAAATCAAAACAGTGAGCAGTCATTCAGTCGAATGGCAAGGAAAACAGCTGAATTTTATACTGTCATTGCATGCAAGGTTGAAATATATTTCTCCTTTTTTACTCGACACTGCCAAAATAACCAGTTTTGAAAGGTAAAACATATTAGTTGTGGCATATTACAAAAAAGTGAAACAACTAGTGGTGGGGGTCAAATCTGAACCACGCAAATAATTTTGATAATGTATAGTATTTATTCTTGCATGTTTATATTGTAAAGAACGTGTTGTAAGGACTTTTAAAGTCTAGTGTAAAATGGCTGGAGTCACTTTTGACATTCATTACCACTATCACTACCTCGCGCTGACCTGGTTTGCATGATTCAACTGACCATGGTTCAAATGAACCTCGCAAATAATTTTACAGTTGTGTAGTATTTATCCTGGCATGTTTTATATAGTGTAAATGCACTTTCTGGGCTTGGATAATTTTCAAACATTTCTGGGGGGATACCCTCACTAGAGGTTTCGCGGAACTTACTTCATCCCCTCCCCACCCCCCAAATAATTTGCTAATAATCATTCTTATTTCAAAATCATGCAGACCTTTATCATTTAAATAATATTCCTTTAAAATACTGACAATTGAACAGAACTGTCACGAACTAGAGTCAATGTGTTTGAGATCTGGAAATACTACAGATTGTTAGGAGTGCAAGATTTGTTAATGTATATACGTCAGAACGCACCGCATTTTATTGAAATATTTAAAAGTCATCTTACATAATTCTACCCAAGTAAGCACAACCCCATAGAGAAGCCGCCTGGTAAATTTGATCTACCGGTCAATTACAAGACCATAAAGAATTTGGAAAATAATTAAGTCAAAAGAGTAAAAGAAGGATTAGTCCAGGTTTAAACCAGAGGATAGCTGGCCGATGTCGCAATGCCACATTGGTTGTTTCTGTTTCTTGACATCATGATATATCCTTTCAGACCCCACGATGCTCCCCAGCTATTCTTCACCAGCCAGTAATCTTTACCACCCAATGTACCATAACCTACCACCAACACGCCATGGTCCAACTGGGTGCTACTGCAGTCTGGCTCATTGTATACACCCTTGTCGTACAACTGGAAACTGCTGTGGCTTGCGTCAATGGCCACCGATATAGGACCGACATTTGCCGTCGCATCTTGAAGTTGAGACTCGGAACCTTTCTGGATGTCTGTGTGGCCTGGGAAATATTTAACGTAACATCAAAACACACACACAAAATATGAATGAATGAATGAATGAACAACTTTATTTAAAGAGGGTAGAAACACATGACAGCAATATAGCTGAAAAACCTGTGGCCCTCATATACAATACATACAAAGTTATTAATTCTACTTTAAAACGTCTAAAAGCTATTTAGAGTAAATAGGTAAAAGATCTTAGGATTATAAATTTATATATACAAATTATATAAAGTACAACATGCTGATCACAATAATAATTCAAAGCGATCGATGCCCTTATAAGATTCTAAGAAGTATTTTTTAAGGGCAAACTTAAAGGAATTAACGCTAGGTTTCGTCTTAATATCCTTCGGGAGATTGTTCCATATTTTAATGCTGCTGACCGTTA